GGGTCGCTATGGGTCCCTATGGGTCCCTATGGGTCCCTATGGGTTCCTATGGGTCGCTATGGGTCCCTATGGGTCCCTATGGGTCTCTATGGGTCTCTATGGGTCTCTATGGGTCATTATGGGTCCCTATGGGTTCCTATGGGTCTCTATGGGTCTCTATGGGTCCCTATGGGTCGCTATGGGTCTCTATGGGGCGCTATGGGTCTCTATGGGGTCTCTATGGGTCCCTATGTGTCTCTATGGGGCGCTATAGGTCCCTATGGGTCTCTATGGGTCTCTATGGGTCTCTATGGGTCCCTATGGGTCTCTATGGGTCTCTATGGATCTCTATGGGTCTCTATGGGTCTCTATGGGTCTCTATGGGGTTTCTATGGGGCGCTATGGGGCTGTGACTGACGCCAGCAGACGGACGTCGCCTCTCGGTCGCCCCCCGGTGGCCGCGGCGAGTAACAGCAGCTCCGGTTCGCCCCCATCGCGGTTCGGCGCCGCCGCCCCCACGGCCACAAAAGAGACCGCGTCACCTGAGCGGGTCACCTGGGGGTCAAAGGTCACGGGGTCACGTGGGGGGGGGGCTTAGGTCACGTGGGGCCAGGTGTTGATGGGGTCGGAGGAACGGGGGGTCGCGTGAAGGTTTGGGTTGGGTTTAGGGGTTAGGTGGGGTCAGGGGTCACGTGGGGTCACGTGGGGTCACGTGGGGTCAAAGCATCAGGGGTCACGTGGGATCAGAGGTCACATGGGGTCACATGGGGTCATATGGGGTCACATGGGGTCAAAGCATCAGGGGTCACGTGGGATCAGAGGTCACATGGGGTCAGAACATCGGGGTCATGTGGGATCCGGGGTCACATGGGGTCACGTGGGGTCACGTGGGGTCACATGGGGTCAAAGCATCAGGGGTCATGTGGGATCAGAGGTCACATGGGGTCAGAACATCAGAGGTCACATGGGGTTGGGGGTCACCTGGGGTCACATGGGGTCAAAGCAGCGGGGGTCACGTGGGGTCAAAGCATTGGGTCACGTGGAATCAAGGGTCACATAGGGTCACACGGGGTCACACGGGGTCACACGGGGTCAAAGCATCAGGGGCCACATGGGATCAGGGGTCACATAAGGTCAGATGGGGTCACATGGGTTCACACGGGGTCACATGGGGTCAAAGCATCAGAGGTCACACGGGGTCACACGGGGTCACACGGGGTCACATGGGTCAAAGCATCAGGGGTCACATGGGATCAAGGGTCACATAGGGTCACATGGGGTCACATGGGGTCACACGGGATCACACGGGGTCAAAGCATCAGGGGCCACATGGGATCAGGGGTCACCTGGGGTCACATGGGGTCACATGGGGTCAAAGCAGCAGGGGTCACGTGGAATCAAGGGTCACACGGGGTCACACGGGGTCACACGGGGTCAGAACATCAGAGGTCACATTGAGTCGGGGGTCACATAGGGTCACATGGGGTCACATGGGGTCACACGGGATCACATGGGGTCAAAGCATCAGGGGTCACACTGGGTCACACGGGGTCACACGGGGTCACAGATGCTCTGAAGGCCCGGGGCTGCCCCCCATCGTGCCTGCAGGAATTCTCCCTCCAGCATGGCGCATTCCCGCAGCTCGCCGTATTCCCCGCTCTGCAGGCACTGCCGAAGACGCCCCATGGCCGTCGGGGTCCTTCCGACTTTCAAAATGGCGGCGAGGAGGGTTGGAGGCGGTTAGCCACGCCCCCTGGCCAATGGCAGCGCGGGGTGCCTCTTATTCCCGCCCCCCTGACCAATAGCAGCGCGGATCTCCTCTTGCCCCGCCCCCCGACCAATGGCAGTGCAAAGCTCCTTTTATTCCCGCCCCTTGACCAATGGCAGCGCGGATCTCCTCTTGTCCCGCCCCCCGACCAATGGCAGCGCAGAGCTCCTCTTGTCCCGCCCCCCGACCAATGGCAGTGCAAAGCTCCTCTTATCCCCGCCCCCTAGCCAATGGCAGCGCAGAGCTCCTCTTGTCCCCGCCCTCTGACCAATAGCAGTGCGCTCTGCCCTTATCCCCGCTCCCCCGACCAATGGCAGCGCAAAGCTCCTCTTGTCCCCGCCTTCTGACCAATGGCAGTGCACTCTGCCCTTATCCCCGGCCCCTTGACCAATGGCAGCGCAGTGCACCTCTTAGCCCCACCCTCTGACGAATGGCAGGGCAGTGCACCCCTTAGCCCCACCCTCTGACCAATAGCATTGCAATATTCCCCTTAGCCTCTCCCTCTGACCAATGGCAGCGTAGAGCGCCACTTAGCCCCGCCCTCCAACCAGTGGCAGAGCAGAGAGCCCCTTAGCCCCGCCCTCTGACCAATAGCAGCCCAGAGCGCCCCTTAGCCCCGCCCTCGGACCAATGGCAGCGCAGAGCGCCACGTATCCCCACCCCCTGACCAATGGCTTTGCAATGCGTCCCTTAGCGCCGCCCTCTGACCAATGGCAGAGCAGAGCGCCCCTTAGCCCCGCCCTCGGACCAATGGCAGAGTAGTATTGCGTTATTCCTGCCCTCCGACAAATAGCAGCACAGTGTGGCCCTTAGCCCCGCCCTCGGACCAATGACAGGGCAGAGCGCCACGTAGCCCCGCCCCCTGACCAATGGCATTACGATGCGCCCCTTAGCCCCGCCCTCCGACCAACGGGTAACGCAGAGCGCCACTTAGCCCCGCCCTCCAACCAATGGCAGAGCAGTGTTCCCCTTATTCCCGTCCTCT